GCAGCGCGGCCCCGCCGGCCCCCGGCAGGCCGCGGGCTGAGGGGAGGGCGGGAGAGCTGCCCGGGGAAGCGTGCCAGGCGCCCCGGAGGCACAGGGCGAGCTCCCCGCTGCAAGCGTCTCCCCTCCTCGGGGCTGGATGCCCCCACAAGTGCGTCGGCCTCGCAGCGGGACGAACCCGGAGGCCGACCCGGCCCTCGCAGCTGCCCGCCTCCATACTGCAGTCGTCCCCGCGTGAGGAAAGGTGCGTGTCAAACACACCAACAAGCGCGCCCGTTTCCCCAGTTCTCGCAAGCCCAGGGGCTACAAGAAGATACGGCGCGGCTGCGCCCCCACGCCTCTCCCCTTCGGCGGGGGCGGTGAAGCGGGAGCGCTGGGGCAGGTTCCAGAAAGCCCTTCCTGAAGGGGATGGGGGAAAATGGAGACCCCCAGGAGCAACCTCCTCTGGCAAAGTACATGTTTTGAGGCTGATCACGCAGCTTTTGAGCGTGGTGCTCACTGAGGGGCGTGTGTGCTTACTCTACATAGTCGAAGAAAACCACTTTTACCTCACAATTATTAATTAGAGGGTTATAAAGTGATTAGCAGTCCCAATATTTGCCTGGAGCACACGGCTACAACACAGCCTGTAGTACTGGGGTGACACGGAAAAAACAGACAATCAAACAGAATATATTCCCTTCCAATTGATGCCATAGCATGATTGTTCTTAGGTTTACATGTTACAGCTGTACTAATCTAAAGGCTTGTTATCTTCAAAGGAAGGGATCCTGCTCCCCTGCACAGAGAGCTTCCACTTCAGGCTGCACTGGCTTCACCTCTTTCTGGATCACGCTCTGGTACTCGCCGCACAATGAGTCGATTCAAGTCACTCATCTGTTGGGAAACAATTTATTTTTCATTGCTGAATTTGTTTTCTGCCAGATTAGTGACCTGAACTGATTTGCTGTACAGTAAAAGGGAACCAGTGAAGGGGAAGGGGGGGAGCAGGAATGCACAGCTGGGAGTACAAAGGGGTGCATGTAGGTTGGTAAGAGCAGGATCTCCTCTTTAAGAAGCAGCAAAAGTAATATCGGACCACCGCATTATATAACAGCACCTTTATAAATAGGCAAGCAGGGACTTTACACACTTTTCTGTTCATTGCTATCCTGCTGCGTGATGGTCCTGGAGACATAGTGGGCTGGTCCTGGGACCAAGATCTGCACTGCAGGGAGTTGTATTCTGCCTCCATAGTGTGCTAGTTTTAAAAGCCGTTTGTGCTATCATCAAGCATTTTGCAGTGTTGTATTGTCTTTGTGAGCTTATTCCCAGTCTGTACGTCAATCCTGAATTGATTCAAGGCTGGTTTTAAGCCACCCTGTATGGCAGTTATTGACAGAAGAAAGCACTATAGCACACATTACATTTACTCCTCTGAAACTTTAAGAGGGATGTAAACAGTACATCAGTTTTATACAAGCCTGCGCTGACTGAAGTTTAACTGTTTACTTGCTACTTCAAGAACTCATACTTTGCACTTCAGTAAGAAAGCATCCCACTTACTTAGGCCAGACTTCTATCACTCTTTTTGGTCATAAAAGAAATTAAATAATAATTTCCTTATTCTTTGTTCTGGCTTTTGCCTTCTAATAACCCACAGCTATAATGAAGGTTCAAAGAAAAAATGGCTTTTCATGATCACTTTAAAGAGTCAGAAACATCACTTTCAACTTAAACATAAACCCACTGAAATACACTTCTGGCACAGTCAGCAGCTCAAGCAGTAGTCAGTCTCAGTACAAAATACTTTAAAATGTTACACATTTTAATAGTTTTAAGTGTCAGGACACGTTCAGCAGTAGACTAGAGGGGCATGCGTCTGAGCCAAAAGGGGAAAGCCCTCTTAGGCTCCCAGCCTGTCCCAGCACTGAGTAGTTACTGAATCACCCAAGGAGAGATCACTTGTGAAACTAGATCACTAGTTACTTAGTTATTGCAAGGAATTTTACCATTTATATTAAATAAAACTGTTACACCATCCGTTGTGCTGTGAGACTAATGAAAGCTTTGAAATTTGGGGAAAACAGAAGTATGTTGAAAACATTTTTAGTGCATAATTTTTGCAGTTTTAATTAAGTTCCAGGAGAATAAAAAGAAAGGAAGAAAGAGGACTGAAGAAAAGGGGACGCAAAAGACTGGGAGAAAAAGGAAAGAACGAAGGAAACAAAAACAGAAGGAAAGCATTACTTGATAGGTAGTTTACCAGGAAACTTGCAAAAGGAGACAGTCAAAAAGGAACAGGCATTCATCTCCTGTTCCATTTCAGTGAGACGCTGAATTCCTTGAGGTCAGCTGAGAACCCAGCCTGAACTTTGCTGAATCTGTAAATTCTGCAGGTCAGCGATCCTTGCTTCCCAGTATTTTTATATACTCTGGTACCATTAATTATTATGCCTCTGGTACATTTTGTAAGCATTTTAATCATGAATCTAACACACAAAACACTGTAGTACTGTAGCTTGCTTTTGTTCATCTAGGATTCACCAGTCCTGTTGGGAGGTAACCCCCACTCTCATTTACATCCAGAGTGCAACTAACTCATAGTTAGGAATTTAGGTAATTTAAACTTCCTCCCACCAGCACATGCAAATGACTGCAAGTACCAACAAGAGCTGCATTCTTGCAGCTGCCATCCTATCCCCGAAGACTCTTATGCGCCCCTTATGAGATTCAGCAAAACATCTTGTTGGGGAGCTGACTTACCATGTAGTTTTCTGCCTCCTGAGACTGCGCAGCAAACAGACCCTTTACCTATTTCTTTCAGTTTAGCAAACACACAGATGAAAAAAAATCTTAAGGACAGGTCTAAGAGAAACTAGGTAAACTAGGTGATGGTAAAGAGAGGCGGTAGAAATTAAGACGTCAGAATTTTTATCCCTTCTTCTGTTACTGACGTGTGATTACAGAGAAGGCAGTTAATTAGCTTTATTTTTTTCTAATCTCTAAAACATTACTAACTTCTGATAATAAATGTATTTAGTGATGAAATATTTGAGGTTTTCACATAATGTGTATGAAATGTACTTCACAATATATGACTCTCTTAGGCCTCATTTTCCAGTGCCTTGTATCTTACGTCAGATGTTTATACCAGTGTCTCATGAATGCAAACTGCATATAAAATACTAAGTTTCTGTGGGTTTTATGATTTATGTTTGCTATGAACCGAGCGGGAGTCATAGAGCAATATAAAATTAGGCTACGGATTGCTTCAACAGGACAGCCAATTTATTGCTCTGGTTATATTAAAACCTCCCTAGGCAAGTTGTTAAGATGTTTGCCACCCTTACCGTTAGAAAGCTTTTTGTGAACAGATAACGACAATCTTTCTTGTTGCAAATAAAGCACTTTTTATCTTCATATCCACTGAGGACTTGGGAGGTTCAGGTTGTTTTCTTTCTCTTTGCCAGAGACGTCTGTGGTTTTGAGTACCACTATTAAGTTTCCTTCCATTTTCTCTTCTCCAGACAGAAGATCTCTAGCTTTTTAAAACTTTATCTTGTGCTTTCTTCCTTTCTCATGGCTCTTTCTGCTCTCCCCTGGAGTACGCTGCCTGCTTTTGCTTTCAAGAAACCTTTCCTGACGTGCTGTGCTCAGAACTCAGCCCAGGTTACTCCGGCCAGATAACCCTTGCTGTTTACGCAGAGCAGGTGGACAACGGCAGGTGCTTACGGGTGCGAAGGACGTGGGTTGGTTTGACGAGCGTACATCGGCCATTTCATAAACAGTAGTAATTATTAATGTTAGCTATGTGAGTAATTCTCTTATTATGCAAAGTGCTTTCAAAGGCTGTAATCATCTGTTAACGGTAACGGGCGTTTGTAGGAGCAGGCACGTGTCCGCCCGTTATTCTGCAACGCCTAATTCGGGATCTTCCAGCGGCGGCGGTCCCAGGGCAGGGCAGGGCAGGGCAGCGCC